TTATTTAACTTTGAAAGGCGAACTGAAAAAATAAAGTATTCAACTGTTGTTCAGAAAGTGGGGGGTTGGCGCACAGAGCGCGCAGGAGATAGAGCCCTACTAGTGAATATATATACATACATACATACATACATACATCAGTGGAGCTTCGCCAGCCCCCGACGTAATAAGTTGAAAGTTAATTTTCGTAAATCTTGAATTACTTAGAATTCATTTGTATTACTTTTATTGCATTCTTTTGTAATATTAAAAAACCACAAATGTGCAAATTCAATTTATTTCAGTATTCCTTACCAAGTATAAAAATAAATGTTTGAAATTTGTATGTACATATTATATTTTTAATGACACATTCAATAAATTATTATAAAATCTGCTCATAGCATCACTTTTCTTCAAACAACACTTTCATAAAAATTCTGAAATGAATGAAATAATTATATACCACCATTGTAGAATTCATAAATATTTGATGAGATTTTAACTTTAAAATTTTACTTCCTTATTTATGATATGTCTGTCATAAGGGAAAAGTTCGTCTTAGTCCATTGAGTAAATATAATTTAGAATAGGAAGAACTTTCACTTCATGACGACAATTTTAGAATACTTATCAGGTACTACAATAATGTGTTCAGTTTTGCATTTTGATAAGTAGATAAATAGAACAAAAAGGAAAAGGTATATACTATAGTATGGAAATTTAAAGACAAATTTTTCATGTTGCACGAAACATTGAATTGTAATTTTAATGGAGAAACAAAAAATACTTAACTATATATGTATGATGATGATGAAATTGCTATTGATCTAAGGTTGAAATCTATACATAATAGTAAGATTCTTAAAAAAAATATTTGATGAGATTAATAGTTACGTTAATGCTAGATGTGTAGGTTCAATGAAAGCAGTTTGGAGATTGCGAGAATTTCGAATTTGTGGTAGAAGTCATACAGTTGTAAATTTCGCTATTTACCTTGAAAACAAACAAAAATTTGTACTTAAAGAAAATAATATTTAAACTGTGATAGAAAACTACGAAACAGGTACCTAAATGTAACAAGTATGTAAAAATTTCAGAATACCACATTTTTAATAGTAAATTAAAATTTTAAAAAGACGAAAAAATGTAATAAAAAATACTGCAATAGATAGATTAAACATTGTATCCCTAAAAAATCATGAAAGATTTTTTTTTAACTTGTATTAAATAAAGTANGATGGGGGGTTGGCGCGTGGAGCGCGCAGGAAGGCGTAAGCCCCACTAGTACATCTATATATATATATATAGATGTACTAGTGGGGCTTACGCCTTCCTGCGCGCTCCACGCGCCAACCCCCCATCAGCAGTTAATTGCTCAGTTAGTGCTTGTGCTGCCACTTATTTATTCAGAGGTTAATCAACCTACTTTAATTTGGTTTAATTTAACTTTACTCTCAAACTTAACTGTATCAAAAACTTTCCTAAACTATTTTCTGATACAACATCTTAAAAAAAAATGGTTATCCCGAATATATCAGAAAAAATAATATTTTGAATGATCATGTATATAAGATTAAAAATAAGCATAAAATTGCAGTTTAATGACTGTACCGTATGACAAAATTTTATTAATGAATTACAGATGTAACCTAATGGTTGAACATTGTGCATCTATTCAAAGCATAAAATACATATACGACTACATTCATACAAGTGGTGATAAAGCTTTTATTGAAATCGAAAGAATAAGCTATTGTGATGATGAAGATCTAGATGAAATAAAAAACTATGTTGATGCTAGATATTCAAGTCCCATGGAAGCAGCATGGACATTACAAGAATATCTTATTTGCGGTAGGAGTCACAAAGTTGTAAATCTTGCTGTGCACCTTGAGAATTAACAAAAATTAATTTTCGAAGAAAATAAAACTGAAAAAATAATAAAGAAATGACAGACGCATCTAACAGCTTGGTTCAAGATAAACAAAACTGATAATTTTGCAAAACATTTCAAGTAGGTTAATATCCCAGAAAACTATATTTTCAACAATCAACTAAAAATTTGGGTAAAAAAACGAAAAAAATGAAAAATACTGCAATAGATAGATTGAATACAGTGTCACCAAATGATCATGAAAAATTTTTTTTTTAATTAACATTGAATAAAAAAAAATTGAACAACTTTATTTGAAGATTTAAAAATATATCAAAATGTCAAATACAAAACATTTAAAGATACAGCAATTGCCATGGGTTTAATCGAGTATGATTCACAGATTGATTATATTTTCCAAGAAGCTAGTACTGTTATGCTTCCTCATCAATTAAGAAAATTTTTTGCATGGTTTTTAATATCAGAGAATATACAAGGTAATAAAATTTGGAATAAGTATAAAAACTATTTTTGTGAAGATTTTAATCGTAATAAAGAAAATTGTGCTCTTCTGCACATCAACAAAATTTTTGAGCTTGAAGACAAATCTTGTTTATCATTCAATTTACCTGCACCGATTAAAATTGACTTACAAAACAAGGATGACGCAGAGACATTTGCATTCTGTAAACATGTGTTTGATTTGATGTATGCTCAGCTAAACAATGAACAAAAAATATTTAAAAAATTTTATGTAATGACGTTAGGAAGATTTTATTTATAGATGGTTCTGAATGATCAGGAAAAACCTTTTTATTTAAAACATTAATTTAATACTTTATATTACAAAGAAAAAAATTTTGTCAATGGCATGGACTGGCATTGCGTCAGTAATACTACCAAAAGGTATGACCAGTCATAGAACTTTTCGCTTACCTTTGGATTCAAACAATATTGAAACTGCATTTTTTGAATTCGAATCTGAAAAAAAGAAATCATGTAAAATCGATATGATAATTTGGGATAAGGCTTCTATAATTCCGAAAAAAGCTTTAGAGATAGTTGTTGAAAAGAAATACGACAACTTATTATAGTATAGATCATGCCACGTACGAAGGTGTCGATACATCAGACCATAACATTTACATATATTTCCCTAATGAAATTTTAAATAATATTCGTGAAGGTTTGCCACCGCATGAGCTAAATTTAAAAGTTGTAGCAATAGTTATGTTACTAAGAAAATCGTGTATAGCAGAAGCTTTCTGCAACGGCACACGATTAAAGATTAGAAAGTTATTTAAGTATAATATTGAAGCTGAAATAATAACAGGAGAAAAACTTGGAAATATAGTATTTATACCGAAAATCACTTTAAATACAGGTAATATCTCATCCTTACCTTTCATACTTCACAGAAAGCTATTTCCTTTGGTTTTGGCATTCGCTATGACAATGAACAAATCTCAGTTGTTTTTTGATTCGTATACATAAAAAGGAATAGGTTTGAGACAGACAGGTTTTTCAAGAAAAAAAAAATTACAAACATATGTATAGAAATGCGAATAAAGTTTTATTTAATTACTATATCTAATAATG